GTCTGAGTAATCGTCACTTGGCTGATAAGGTGCTAGCAAAACAGGCAATGAATAGGTTTCGTGCAAGTGATTCGTCTTGGAAAGAGAAGGCTGCCGCATTAGCTGTAGCAGGTGCCATGAAAGCTAAAGTAAAACTTGGAATGGGCTTAAAAGAAACCTATGAAGGGCACAAAAAACGTAATATAAACAATTGTTTGAAGAAATTACATAAATTAGCGAAAGAATTACAGGGGTCTCAAAAACTTGTTCAAGACTCTGTACAAATTCTACAAACTGAACAGTCATGTCAAAAAGATATACACCTGAAAGATAAGGAAAAAAATATATATTTAGTGAGAGAAAAGTGCAAAAAGTAAGAGAAATCAAGAAACGTGAAAGCAAAAAAAAAACTCTGACATAAAACATGAAACATCGAAAGTTAAGCGTGGACGAAAACCAAAGTCTGATTTAGAGGACATAAAAGAAAAAATCCAGAGAAGAAAAAACCAAAAGCTACAATTGAATACATGGACACTTATATAACAGAAGAGCAAAAGAACAAACCAAAAAAGAGAAAACTGGATTCAGTCACTACTACTACTACTTCATTGAATGCTGAACAAATGAAAAAAAGAAAAATAGATTTGGATGATCCGGTTATAATTTCCGAGAAAAAATGCAGTACAAAACGTAAAAGGGAATCTGATGATGAAGTAAAGGAAAACAAACAACGTAAATTAGATATGAGTGACGTAATTCCGTCTCCATGGAACCAACATAACCGAAAACGGAAGATTCAACCAGATGAACATGATGATGATGATTAAGGTGATTGTATAAGTGTGGCGGACGCATATCAAGAACAAACGATCAATAGTGATAGTAATAGCAGCAGCAGCAGCAGCAACAAGACCAGCACTGCTGGATTGATACTACGCATAAAATTAGCACTCTACTCTGAACTACAAAAGTTATTTGTTAATCTCAAGTGTAGCTGTTTGATAAAACAAACAAACAAAAAAGATGAGCTTCAATATTCTCAACATAGGAGAAAATATTTTAATGGATAATTCTATTACCAATTGTGAAATGCATAGCCATCCACCATACGCTAATACAACTTTCAATAATTCAGATGAAATAAGAATACCAATACAAACACAAGATATCTATACACTACCTTGTAATAGCTCACTGTACGTACATTGAAGGAAGATTAGTAGAGGCAAAGGAGAAGAAATAGTCACCAACATTACGCCTCGTAAATAATTTTGTATCATTTTTATTTGATGAATTGCGATATGAAATTGGAGGTATAGTTGTTGATAGAGTTCGCAATCCTGGTATAACAACCACCATTAAAGGACTGGTATCTTTCACAAACAATGAAGGTAATAGTTACCAACATGCAGGCTGGAATCATCAAGAATTACCCGAAATACGAAACAGTGAAGGTTATTTCAGTGTAACTATTCCACTGAAAAATTTAATGGGGTTTTTTGAAGACTTTAAAAAAGTACTAATCAACATCAGACAGGAATTGGTCCTTATAAGAAGCTCCACAGATGTTAATGCAATTGTAACGACAACACCTGGCGAGAAACCTCATTTAGATTTGTACAGAATACTATGGAGAATTCCACACATCCAAGTATGTGATACTGAAAAAATACACCTCACGAAGTACATAGAGAAAGGAAGTGACTTACAACTAGCGTTCAGGAGTTGGGAGTTGCATGAGTACCCCATTTTACAACAGACAAATAAACATACATGGAACGTCAAGCCATCCACCATACGCTAATACAACTTTCAATAATTCAGATGAAATAAGAATACCAATACAAACACAAGATATCTATACACTACCTTGTAATAGCTCACTGTACATTGAAGGAAGATTAGTAGAGGCAAAGGAGAAGAAATGGTCACCAACATTACGCCTCATAAATAATTTTGTATCATTTTTATTTGATGAATTGCGATATGAAATTGGAGGTATAGTTGTTGATAGAGTTCGCAATCCTGGTATAACAACTATCATTAAAGGACTGGTATCTTTCATAAACAATGAAGGTAATAGTTACCAACATGCAGGCTGGAATCATCAAGAATTGCCCGAAATACGAAACAGTGAAGGTTATTTCAGTGTAACTATTCCACTGAAAAATTTAATGGGGTTTTTTGAAGACTTTAAAAAGGTACTAATCAACATCAGACAGGAATTGGTCCTTATAAGAAGCTCCACAGATGTTAATGCAATTGTAACGACAACACCTGGCGAGAAACCTCATTTAGATTTGTACAGATTACTATGGAGAATTCCACACATCCAAGTATGTGATACTGAAAAACTACACCTCACGAAGTACATAGAGAAAGGAAGTGACTTACAACTAGCGTTCAGGAGTTGGGAGTTGCATGAGTACCCCATTTTACAACAAATAAACATACATGGAACGTCAAGGCGACTAATCAATTGGAAAAGCCACGTTTCGTTATTGTTGCTTTTCAGACTGATCGGAAAGGACAGCTGACTAAGAACTTGAGTCACTTTGATCACTGTAACCTGAGCGATATCAAATTATTTTTGAATTCTGAAATTTATCCATATGACAATGTAACTTTCAATATGAGCAGAAATTATTTTAGTATCTTGTATGAAATGTATGTGCGCTTTCAGCAGTCCTATTATTATAGAAATTCCAGTGAGCCATGACAAAACTTGAAAACTTTCATTGATGCAACCCCACTTTTTGTTATTGACTGCAGCAGGCAAAATGAGACATTAAAATCGGGCTCTGTTGATATTATATTGGAATTTGAAACTACCGTAAATATACCACCAAATACTACTGCCTTTTGTTTGATATTACATGATCGTCTTGTAAAATATAATCCATTAAATAGTACTGTAAAAGTTTTTTGATAAAAGATGTTGATCTTGTATTGACAGCATGTAAAGAGAGAGTATGTAAATGAAACATTACTTGTGGAGAAATCACTTTTTAATTTTAAAATATGTTTTGTGACAATAACAATGTGTCATCATCATCATCATCATCATCATTGTCATCGTTATCATTGCCGCCTGTGACTGTTGTAGATGCTGCTGCTGGTGGTGGTGGTGGTGGAGGTGGTGGTTTCCTAACCTTTTGCGTAGGCTCCTTCTCCTCCTGCTCATCATCATCATCATCACCATCATCATCTACCACATTTTGTAGCACTGGTGGTTCCAGATACAACTTTCTCTTCTTACCACCAACACCACCACCACTGCCACCAAGACTACTCGTTCCAGGTCGATCTTGTATAGATTGTCGATTGATGTCTTCCAACTGTTCGTCCAACAAATTGAATCGATATTTTTTTACGATTCTTTCCAATACCTGGAATTCCGCGTTCTTATCTAATTTGGTCCTCAAATATTTGATGGGCAGCAAACCGAATTTTCATTTTAATGTTGCTGCTCTTGGTGAGTATGTTAATTTTACGAAGACTTTGTCACCGCTCGCTTTGATCTCCCTCACACCGTATCTGAAGAAGAAAAAAAAAAGATTAATAGAACTGCATCCATACACTACCAAGGTAAGTGACATTACCAAAAACCGGTGAAAAACACATTAGGAATACTAGTTTTAGGTTGATTGTTAATACGTATCTAAATATGTATGCTAGGCACTGTTGAAAAAAAAAGACATAATAAATAAAAAAAGTCTCCTAGAATAAGGAATTGGAAAGATAACACACAACAATAATGACACAATAGCAAAAGCAAATCAGTATTGAGAGAGAGAGAGAAGAAAAGAGAAATATATAAAGTTACTTACTGAAACAATTCCTTCATGACCAATAACAGGTCATTAATTGGTAAATTCACAGGATCTTCCGCGAAGACGATGAGAGTTGTTGGTGTTGTTGCCATTATACGTCTTGATCACCAAAACTTGTAACTCTGATACTAACTACTTACACACACTAGCAATTTATACAGATCTTCTACGAAAAAAACAAACATCCATATCAATTGCAAGCTGACTGTTTGCTTCCATTAAATATAAGATAGTTTTCCATCAAACAAACAATCGTATGATTCTATAATTACATGATGTCTAAGGTCAGAGGTCAGAGGTCATTGTCGCCATTCTCCATATCAAGGAAAATAACATTTTGCTGCACAACATGTTTGTTTCTAGAATAGTATCGTATGATTCCTTATTAGTGATAAATAGCATTTTTTTGTCAGATTTCACTGTATTTAAGCCAGCAACTTGACTACTTTCGTCATAAGTGTTCACACACACACACACACACACACATACAGGCGCCTAGGCTCTTGTGGCGACGCGTGAATAGTCCTCAATTGTGGCGATATCGATGAAATTTCTCCTGAACATCTACAGTGCTTGCGTAGTCGTCTGGTATCAATAAAAACGGGATACACTCCGTTTAACAATTAAAAACAGCTAAATTATATTGTGGCTACGGGTGTCATAACAACCTACATTTGTGAACAGAGTGTATGAGTAGCCACTAATATTGAAAGATGAGCTGTGTGTACCTTCAGGTCTCCATAATAGGAGTGTTTAGTTTTTGCAATGTTGTCATATCGGTTTGTCGCCACAATGATATATAAGTGATATTCAAGCACATATCAAACAATACTCTCATTGGCTTTAAGGATACGTATACGGTAGGATGTACTTCAAGAATCCTGGGTATTTCAAGATAATACCAAAAATGTATGAGGATGAAATGCGGTTGATGGCAGGCGCAATATAGTTTTAATTCTTTATTTTTTAAACAGTTAATGTCATCCAAAACTTTAACATGTAAATGTCAGTGAACACAATCAGACAACATAAAAAATATACAGGGTGAGTCCACAAAGATACGCGCATACGGATCGGTTATTATAACACAGCACCTAGCAACCAATGAAATCAGGTTTTATGTGCGGTCGTGTTGATATTGTCTGATCTATGGTAATAGTCGTGTTCTCACTGTGGATCCATGTGGACCCACCCAAAAACTTAAAATCTCTTACAGTGCAAGGAATATACGCTGTACGAAGCGTAAAGTAGTTTCCTAAATAAAAAATAAACACGTACAGATACATCTTTATAAAAGGAGGGTCTCTAAGGCCTCTTTATGACTTGGTTTGTTTCCTGGCGAAAAGGTATGAAAAACTTGGTCTCTCCTAGGAAGTCTCAGTCGATTAGAGTCATTAAACAACAATTTATTAGAATAATTCTTTAAGGCCAATTTTCATGAACTTCATACCCTAAGGCTTTATTTTGTGCATGTTAATAGTAGCTACACAATGAATAGAATAATAATAAAACCTATTTAGTTTAGTAATTAGTTCAACAAATAGCCTTACAGGCCCTTCTTACTGTATTGCAGAGCAAAAAAAACGCAACTTGTTACATTGTATGTTTCTTTTTTAGCTTTTTGTTTTTATCTATGACGTTTTTCACTGCATATTTAATTTTCTTCCAGTCTCTCTGATCCAGCAGAGGATGTGCTTCGATGCATTTCATGCAGTCTATTTTCCCTGGTAGTGAGTTCCTGATATTAATTTTGAAATAGGTCAGGACAGCTTCCTTTTCTTTTGGTGTCCATGGTTGTTTACCTAAGACAGAAAAATAGTCGTGTTGTAAGAAAATTACTGTCGCTCAAGCTACAGCGTTCCCGAGAAAGTAAATCAGTACAAGCTATTGCTCCACAGTCAATATGCCAAATGCCGCTGAACCGACAAATAAATGGACCGGTACCATCGACATCTGAGCGTCAGGTAAACCAATGGAATTAATGAGATGAAGCTGCGTGATTGGGACATTCCGACATCTCAAAAAAACCTCATTGAATAAGATTAGGATTTATTCGCGATTGCTTATGCATCCGAAGCATAGATGAATATAGGTATAAATTGTGCATTCAAACTAAGGTTACCTCTTTTCTGTAAAGTCCGCTTTGGAGAAGCATTCTTTGGGAGTTCTGTAGGAGATGCATTCTTTGAGACTTCTGTAGGTGGATTGTCTTGCGGTAAAATTTGACCGTCCAACTCTGCCTCACAATCCGATCCATTCTCACTTTCCCCTATTTGTGGTAAATCTGCAAGCAACTGACTTATTACATCTAAAACTAACCTGTTATTTATTGGGTTGGTAATTTTCGGTTGCAGCTTACAATTATCGCGAACAATTTAACAAAATGTCTTTGGCGACCTGTGTACGTCGACACAATTTTTAGCAGTCACCATAATAGAGTTTTATGTAAGACACACGTGACCATTTCTCTCTATTTGTGGTACATCTGCAAACACAGCTGACATTTGAGTTTCGCCTGTTATTAATTGGGTTTGATAATTTATTCTAGTTCCTAGACAAAGTAACTTGAACGGAAATTTGCTATTGATGTGGTCGGTTGGATTGAAATTTACCAATAAGCGCTGGTAAATAAAAAAGCCTAAACTCTCCCCATTTGTCGTTGGGTCGTGATAAAACTGTACGGAATAAAATTGATACCTTACTTATCCATATCGAAGCGGTAACGAATTGTGCTTTTTACCTATCGTGTCGCACCAGTAAATAAGAAATATGCCTAAATTACCTTACATATGTTGATAAATCATTTACCGTCTATGTCTATATCTGCTAGTGACTTCCCAGCGAAGGTGCTCACTTTTCCTTCATCAACCGCCATCAGCAATTTACTAACTTTGGTCAGTTCCACGGTGCTCTCATGTAAGCGATAAAATTCTCTGTGGACCCGTATGTCGCGGCCCAAATGTCTTGCTAACCAGTCAGATTCGGTTTCAGTCAGATCAAACACCTTTAATATAGAATAACATGCTTTAAGGTATGTGATTATAAGAATTGATGTCTAGTAGATTGACTCGGTATTTCCCACGCAATTCTGGATAAATGGACTTGAATAAAAATCTATGCATCTTCATTTTTCGATTTCTTGTACCCCTCTGTACTCTTGTATAAAATCACAAAGTAGAATAAGTATCAGTAAAAAACAATATTGCTTGAACAAAATTAAATTATGGAGTTTGGCCATTTTTGTCTTTGGCACAGTAGTAGCCTTGTTTGCAAATTACATGGAAATCCGTCCGGTCCTTTTCAAATTATAGCGGGGTCAAGGATAAGCACACAGATAGATAGACCGACAGAGCGATGGAAATGAGTGATGTGTTTTTTTCTAATATACGTCTAACATCCAAAAGACAATATCTCATTTTAGACATTTTTCACGATTACAAAACTTTGACGGTAGCGTGGGAAATAAACGGGCGTCAACCTCCTAAGATCAAGAAAAAATTAAGATGCAGATAACGTGGGGTGTTGCAGTAATACTAAAGTCAAGTTGGTGATGGATTCCGATGCTGTGAGTTAGGTAGCGGGCATGTTATTTAAATTGGTTCCGGATTGATTGAGCTTTGTATTAGCCACTCATCTCACCATATCAAAATTTATCCTTACTTCAATAATAAAAAATCAATGTTAGGTATCTAACATGATTCAATATTTATTGCACACAGTTCATAAATACGTACGTCAATGGACTCTCACATGGGTGGTTAGAGAGGTGCTGTAGTTTTTGAAAATTTAAAAATCGTTTTTATAGTGTAGTATGGAAATAAAATTTGTTTGAATAGCATTCAGCTATAATGCATTATTACTAAAACTGAAAGTAAAATCTGCTCATTGTGTCCGAAAAGCAATATAATGAATTCAATCGACTTTTGCATAAAATGGTTGAGATAATGTATGACATTTTTCTTATAACATAAATACCTGACATACGGTAGCCACATATTTTCTTAGCTTAGTAGCTGTAATCATTTCAGGATTTCTCAAGTCAGCCAGTTTGCACATCTTCGAAAGATAATCATGCCCCCTTAAGAATTGAGTCGAATTCTTCGAGCAAGCAAATATATATGGGTTATTACCAGATATTCCACAATCTGTTCTTTTTGATATTAACAAGTCGAGCGCTACCCTAACCTCATCCGTAAGAAGAACTGGTACTTTCTTGGCCCTTTTCCCAGGCATTTCTACTACCGCTAATCGTTCGGCAAGTTTCACCTCAAATGGTGTTAGGGAATTTTTCAACTCAGTCGTGGATTGTTCACTCCATTGAGGTCTTGAGTTGTAGCTATCTATAGTTAGTCTTGCGGCTTCCCCAGATCTGCGCTTATTAAAAAGTATTATTCTTGCCAGTAAGCAATACGCTAGCATTTTCCAGCTTTCGGAATCTGAAAATGTCTGTAGGCGTTCCTTGTACATTTTGATAGAGTTACTAATGAATGTGTTAAGCTTTAACAGATCTTCACTGATAGGTAGTAGTTGAGTTTTGTTCATCTTTCGGCTGTACAAAGTATTAAGAGCATTGGAAGATATGCGTGATGCCCATTTCATCTCCAGAAGGTTTAAAAACACTCACAAGGCAGGTTATCTTGGTTCCTTGCCATGGTCACCATCCTTTTTGTTCTTGATAACATCATGAATAAGATGAATATACTGTAAAAGATGCAATGCTTAGCTTTAAACTGGGAGCGACACCAGTATGAAAAACATCGTGCAACCGTACGATACAAGATATAAGATACCAAAGCACATTATCATACCTAATATTTATTGCAACTCGAAAAAATCATCATTTGTCAATTAATCCCAATCTACATTTTTAAGCCTGAAAATTGGCCGCCCTACTAAGTGACAGTATTGACCGTGTCGCGCTTTGATTCAAACAATAAATGGCCAGTCTAGCACTTTATACTATTGGACCAAGATTCCATGATCAAAAGATCAATACTACAGATTGATTAGCAGATTTTGTGAACTTGTGCATTAATAAATAAATCGAAGGCAGGTGAGCAGGCTGATCAACATCGGTCTGCATTATGCGTTTTACTTTGTTTAAGTTGTTGATAAAAAAATGTTATCATACTTCAACTCATTTGAAAATTTAATAAAATATCACTGTATTGTATTGTGTTGAGGTGATGCCAGCCCATGTTGAAGATGCATTAGTACAGGGTGGCGCCTAGGAACCGCATGATTTTCACGTAAGCACAACATTTTTTATGTTTAAGATAATTCTTTTTTAACTACAGCTAAATAAAGTAATAATAGTGCACTTTTAAATTAATTATGGTAAATTATGTCACTCAAGTGTCGCGCTTCTTCGCGCTCGCACATCTCCAACCGCTCTTGAAAGTTGTGCATTACACGTAGGATCATTTCTTGTGGTATTCTTGCGACTTCTTGACGAATAGCAATTTTCAGTTCCTGTAAAGTACGGGGTTGTGAGGGTACACTTTAGCCTTAAGGTAACCCCACAAAAAGAAGTCACATGCAGACAAATCTGGGGAGCGTGGAGGCCAAGGAACATCGCCCAAACGGAAAATCACGTTCAAAAATTGCTCGACCGCATACACACGATGGTCAGTTGTTCACGGTGCCATGGCTAAAACTGCATTGCCTGTGTTCTCTGCTGGCGGTGAGGGAAGGTCAACCCACTTCTCCTTGCGAAATACTATTCACTCAGAAAACATGCGTTTCCTCTGCGCCACCCTGTATTAAGTCAACGTACATCAGATGGCTTCTTTTTTTGACAAAACCGTTATAATTTCGTAAAAAGGTGACATTAGAGAGCCAGCCCATTGTGAAGGTTTCGTCTTGTGGAAAATTTCGAAAATCTCATTCCCGTAAGTGCGAGCGAGATAGGCTGTATGTGGATGCGGAGGCGCGAGATAGAGCGTATAGTCTGTTCCTTTGAATGGTTCTTAAAAGTGGAAAAATTGAGTATACCATCCTGTTCTTTCATCACTACAAAATACACATTCAATAATCCATTTTCCGAAATGCACATGAAAATCATTAAGTGATTCTCAAAATTTTCGTCTTCACTGAACGTTATTCTGTATCCAAAACCAATAAACTATTGGTGTTGAAAACCATCCCTACCTGCAGACATATGATCTTTTGTATGAATCATCATTCGGGTATTACATTTTGGAAATTTGTACATGATGAAACCACAATGAGCTGTCTCTCTCTATAAATACGTATTAGAGACAAAAAATATGGTTAATTTGGAAAACTGTTATGACTTTTAACAGAAGGCATTTTACCGCGTCTGACCTAACCTCCATTTGCAAGATATACAATCACTATTATTTTCCTACCACATTTGATGTGGTTAATTAATTTGTACAAATGTATCAAGATATACCTGACTACTTGAAAAATAAATAATATATAGCTCAACTTACCTGAGGTTGCCACAAATTATAATAAATCATAACACGCACAGAACTAATAACACGTGTTCTCTCCTATTAACACTGCATCGGTGGCGCTGGTTTTTTTAACACCAGTGGTGGCGTGGGGTATTGTATACCCCATCTAAGGAATGTGGATCTTTGGGGTATAAACAGTATAATTATTATCAATGTATACAAGAACTGTTAATAATATAATATAATAATACATCAAGTCACCTAAATAAGTAACTGTGTAACTGGAGAACTGAACAGAATGAAGCAAAATATAGAAAAATAATAATTAAACTGAAAAAATAAAACCACTCATAGTCTCCCTATTTCACTCATCTTCATGGTCGCTGCTTCCGTCACTGGCGTTGTCATAACAGGCGGTACATATATTATGTTGGTGATCCTTGCACACAAAATTCCGGCATTCACTGCATCTAGCTGTTGTTTTTTTATCATTTTTCCTGGGACATATGTGACAGCGGCCTGTTTTTCTTTCTCGAGCTCCTCCGTCTTCATTAGGAGTTTCTTGTATTCTTAGCAAGTTGTGTGCTTTTTGTCGAATCACCCTCGGTACATTTTGGCTGTAAATTCTACGCATTATGCAGGGTCTGACCAGTTCTGATGCAAGACTTTTCAAAAACTGACGCCTCAGTACATTTACAAGATTCCCATTTGTTACATATAAATTTAATGCATTTATAGCCGCTATATTCATTACATCGAAAAAAATGGCCAAAGGCCACCTTCGAGTAGTTCTTGCCACATTGTACATAACACACATTCTATCCACAACATCGACGCCATACTTCGTGTGATTATAATCGACAATCATGGCTGGCTTATTTGTCTCTCTGTCAATTTCATCTGAATGATGCATCGTTGAAAGCATAAGAACGTTTTTGTTTTTTTTTTTGTACAAAAGATACTAGCGTGCATTTTTCATGGAAAGCAAACATCGAACTTTCTAATGGCTTGCCTTTTGTGGATACAAAGCACGGTGGAATTTCCCTTTTGTTAGCTTTGATAGTTCCAAGCACAGTCAGCTTATGGTCTGTAAGAAGCTCCACTGCCAAAGGAAAACTGGTAAACCATCGGTCCATCGTGATATTCCTATTGGTGTTTCTTATTGGTTGAACAAGCCTTTTGACGACGTCGCTAGGCGAATTCGATATCTTATATGGACCATCTGGCTGCTTACCACAGTAAATTTCGAGATTGATAGTCATCATCGTTTTTGGATCCGCAAGCAGAAAAAGTTTGATGCCGTATTTGGCTGGTTTCGAGGGCAAATACTGCCTAAATGGGCATTTGCCCCTAAATGCGATGAGCTGTTCGTCGATAGTGACATAGCTGCTTGGCATATATGATGAACAACAATTATTCACAAATAATACAAACAGCTCTCGTATAGCGGCTAGTTGGTCCAACTCTCGCCTCCCAGGTCTGTCACGTATGTCATCAAACCGAATACAACGGTATAAAAATTTGAATCGAGTGCAACTCATTGTGCAGTAAACAATGTCTACTCCAGTGCCATCAGTATTCCAGATATCCTCAGTATTTAGTCTACCTTCTTTTAGAACCCCTGTTATGTATAAAATTCCCAAAAATGCTCTAATTTCGCATTCGTCTGTAGGCTTAGCATTTCTTGCACGTGCATACTTTTCTTTGATTGTCTCAATTTTGATATTAGTACATCGAAACATTCCAAAACTGTTTTAGCGTTTCTTGCATGTCCAAGAGGACCAGGGACTTTGACAACTATATTGTGCACCCTAGTGCGTGATGTGGCAGGCGCTATTTTACTCCAAATGGTTTGGCCATCTTTACCTGTGTAGTAGGGTTCAGAGCGTATTCCTTCATCCAGTACTTCACCTTGTACCTCGCTCATATCCGTTTCTGATTCGATGAGCCCCTGTTCCTCTTGAACATCATCCGGTTCTTGATCTATGTCTTCATCTTCTGAGTCCGATTCTGACCACTCATCAGCGCCTTCCTCTTGTTCCAACTCCTCCAACCATTTCATCCACTGAGCTGGATCGGTACTAGCTTTTTCAGGGCGTGCCATTATGTAAAACTATAAATAAGTTACAATTATAGTATTTATGTTACCTAAAAACCAACTGTAAAAACCTACAAAAGAAATAAGCTAAAAAACACGAGTGTCACGGGAGTGGTGGCGTGGGGTATTGAGTAGCCCCACTGCGAATGACTAGGCCAACAAAAATCTAACCGTCGCACACAAACTAGCGAGCTCTACACTAATACGTTGGGCACTCTACTGCTGAAGATTACCTGGATGCGCGTAGCTCTAGTCATCCCCACTCCGGACGTATAGCCGCTGAAATTTGAAGTGGGGTACTCAATACCCCGCGCCACCGATGCAGTGTTAAATGAGAAATTAAACACAACTGCAACAGTGAAATTATTCCAAATTGTTTCAGTAAGAGGCGCTCGTGTCGCAAAATAAATGGTCTCCACAATCTTGTGTGTATGAGCACTGTTCATGAAACCGAATTGTGGCGACTTACACACTTTTCAGGTTTTTGCGCAGAATAATTGATCCAACGGTAAGAATGCTTGAGGATCACAATTGACTGGCAGGCAGACGTTCGCCAACTAGCGATTTCATTGGTTGAAATGAGCCAGTAGCGAATAATTTCATAAAATGTCTGTGGCGACGTGTGCAAGTCGCCACAATTTTCAGCAGTAGCCACAGTAGAGTTTTATGTAAGACACACGTCGCCACAAATATAGTACCGCCTACACACACACACACACACACACACACAGACACACACAGTCGCTGCATATCTACACATATCCAAATGAGTAGCAGCCAAAAGGTGATCGATACTGTGTCTGACGAATTCGTTAGGAGAATAGAGGTGGTAAGTAGATTAGTTAGGACAAAAGCAGACTACGATTTTTATATTAAAGAGATACAAAAATGTATTGGAGCGCTTAATAAGTGTATCAAACATAAGTTTGATTGTGTTAAGAATTTTTCAAAAATAGAGTCTAATTTGTCACTTCTCAAGGCTTACCTTGAAAACTTCAAATATAAAAGAAATCGTAAAAGCCAAAATAGAGAGCTTGTTTGGGCAAATGTGGATTCATGCTTTAAGAATAGAATTAAGTCAGGTGTTATAGTTAATTTGAAAATGAAAGATCCAAAATTATTTTTCAAGAGAGCATTCAAAAGCTTTGCGTTACAAATAAGAAAACAGCTTGATATTTGTATGTTAAAATCGAACGTTATTTTTTATAGTTTGTTCATTAAGCATCAGACTGCTGAAAGATCGATCAAACATTTTATTACAAAAAGTCATATAATTGATAGAAATACCAATTTAAAAGAGTGGTATAAAGTTCATGTCACTGATCAAGTTTTGAGAAAATTAGAAGAGTTCCAAGAGCGTGATTCTGGATGGGCCTTATTAGAAATTTTGCATTTAAAAGTGAATATTAATAGGTATTGCCCCATAAATGTTGGTGTTTCAACTTATGTTCCCTCACCAAAATTTATACAAAAGTCAAAAAGTGTAATTAATATTAAAAATAATGTTAATTATTGTTTTTTGTGGTCAGTTGTAAGCGCCTTGTATCCTGTAGAAAAAAATGTAGCCCGCCAATCATCATATCCTCATTTCAGTACAGTATTGAAATACGAAAATATCAGCTTTCCTATACGTTTGAAAGATATACCCAAGTTTGAGATTACGAATAACCTAGCAATAAATGTGTTCACACTCGTAGGCAATCGAATGAATGAAGTTGTACCATTGATACTCAGTAAAACTAATATCACGCCTAGAATCAATTTACTTATGTTTTGCAATAATGATAGTTACAATTCGAATGCTGACACTATTTATCATTTTGCGTATATAAAAAATTTGTCACGCCTAATAAGTAGACAAATAGGTTGGAAAGATCACAAAAAATGGATTTGTGAAACGTGTCTAAATTATTTTTCAAGTGAACATCATTTAAGAAAACATTCTGAAGATTGTAAGCAGCTTAACAGCACTAAGTTCGTTATGCCTAATGAAACTAATAATATTATGAAATTTAAAAACTTTAGGAATAAATTATGTGTTCCTTTTGTCATTTATGCAGATATTGAGAGCATACTTATGAATTATGAGGATGATGACAATGGAACAAATAAAACACAAAAGTTTCAAAAGCATGTGGCTTTCAGTGTAGCTTACTATCTTAAATCGAATTACGAAAATATATATCCTTCCAAATTTAGATCGCCTACGGGTGCTGATTGTCAAAATTGGTTTGTCAATGAATTGCTCAACATTGCTAAAGAACTCGTAAAGTTTATCAGACATGCGAACCTATAGATCTAAGCAGTGATGAGGCGAAAGGTTTTCGTTTGACTTCCAGTTGTAGTATTTGTGAGAAACCTTTTGATGAAAACGAAGTGAGAGTTAAAGATCATTGTCACTTCACAGGTAAATATAGGGGAGCAGCTCATATGTCTTGTAACGTAAACTATTGGAACTCACGTACTGTACCTGTGTTGTTCCACAATTTTTCTGGATACGATGCACATTTTATAATCAGAGCTCTCAGCACCAATATTGAAGGAAATCTCAATTTATTACCTTTGAATAAAGAGCGTTATATTTCGTTTACAAAATACATTGCCGGTACTAACATCAGTTTTCGGTTTCTTGATCCTTTCCGGTTCGTACCTAGTAGTCTGGACAAGTTATCCTCATATCTAGATCATCATCAAATGAAAATAGTCAAGGAACATTTTCCTGACGATAATATGTTTAAGTTGGTAATAAGGAAAGGAGTTTTTCCATATGAATATCTAAATTCGTGGGAGAAATTAAAAAAGACACGGTTACCACAAAAAGATGATTTTTTAGTACTGTCAAAAACGAAGCTATTTCGAATGATGACTATCAGCATGCACTGAATGTTTGGCAAGCATTTAATATCAAAAATCTTCAGGAATACGCTGAATTTCCGTCATACGTGTTTGCGCACATACAATTTAGATGCATTACACTATTTTACTACGCCAGGTCTAGCTTTTGATGCCATGCTTAAAGTCACTAATGTTGAATTAGAACTGTTGCCTGACAGTGATATGGCTTTATTCATAGAAAAAGGTATCAGAGGAGGTATATCGCAATGTTCTAATAGGTACGGTGAGGCTAACAATAAATTCATGAATAGTGAATATAATCCTGATTTACCAACTTCGTTTTTGATGTACTATGATTTAAATAATTTATACTTAGCTGCAATGTCACATTCGTTACCATATGGGGATTTTCAATGGGGTCGATAACATCTCTATTGAAAATATTTTGAGTGCTGATGAAAACGAATACGGATACATCCTAGAAGTTGATCTACACTATCCTCTCCATTTACGCGATTTACATAAAGATCTACCATTGTGTCCTGAGCACTTAGTACCACCTACTTCGTATTCTGATAAACCAAAATTGTTAACAACTTTGTACGATAAACAAACGTATGTAGTACATTATGCATTACTGAAACAAGCTAAGCAGTTGGGACTTGTCATTAGGAAAGTTCATCGTTGTTTAAAATTTAGACAGTCAACTTGGTTAAAAAAATACATTGATCTTAATACAGAGCTCAGAAAGCAAAGTACAAATGATTTCGAGAAAGATTTTTTCAAATCAATGAATAATGCCCCTTATGGTAAAACGATTGAAAATGTTAGGAAATATAAAGACATAAAATTGGTTACTAAGTGGTCAGGAAGATACGGTGCAAAATACTATATTGCACAAACTAACTTTCATAGCTGCACTATATTTGATAAAGATATGATCATAATTGAAATGAACAAACTGAAAGCTACATTAAACAAACCAATTTTCATTGGTATGTCGATATTGGACATATCTAAAACTTACATATATGATTTTCATTACAATTATATTAAACACAAATTCAAAGATGATTCAAAACTACTATATACTGATACAGATAGTTTAATATATCAGTTTTCAAATATTGATGACATTTACAAACACATCAAAGAAGACATTGATAGATTTGATACGAATGATTATCCAGAAAACAACGTTTTTGGAATTCCATTGAAAAACAAAAAAGTTATAGGGTTAATGAAAGATGAAAATCAAGGTCGAATCATGACACACTTTATTGGGTTGCGTTCAAAAATGTATGCTTTGAGAACTTTGCCTGAGTCAGGTAACAACAACAACAACAAAAACTCTCATGTTATTAAAAAAGCGAAAGGAATTCAAAAGTCAGCTTTGAAGGAAATAACGTTTGATGATTACCATAAATGTTTATTCCAAAATACTCAAGTAGCTGTAACACAGCAATCCATAATTTCGAAACATCACAATGTATTCACAATTTCCCAACAAAAAATTGCATTGAGTCCATTTGACGATAAAAGAATTGTCAATTATATTTATACAGACACAAAACCATGGGGATATCATGACTACTTTTGATTTCTTCTTTAATTTTGGATTCTGTTTTTGTCCATAAAATTAATCTACAACCACGTTAATTCTTAGCCACAATAAACTTTGAATGTAAGTATATATTTTTTTTGTAGAACGTTCTAAACTCAACCAACAGACGATTCCAAAACATTCAAAACACGAACACCAGCAAACGAATACTACCAACTACGATTTCTAAGAGACACTACGACGACGACGACGACACAACAGAAGGGAGTAAGTTCTGTGACAATTGTAACCATTACTTTTGTTTTTGTAGAGAATCAGTAACGATCCATCCAGTAAGGCAAACGACAACAACAACAACAACATCAGATCACCAACAAGTCGATCTGTATTGTTACGAGAAAATTCCCAAGTCGTAAAAAGAACAGACATCGACAGCGTGTAACAGAGAGAGAGAGAGAGGATGTCCAAGCAAGATACAGGGTGGATTCGTAAACATATTTACTCTAAAAAGGACTCTAAGAAGAAAACCTGCTCATTCTTTGTGACACACGTCATCGAGGTGACCAAATGTGGTGTTTGCGGAAAAATTATAAAGGAGCGACCAGCGGCGGCTACCTTGGAAGTCAACTGGAGACCACAGAATGTATTTGTTAGATATTGTCCTGTGTGTTTCCAAGCAAGACCCGGCATCCAAGAAAAAAGAACAGACTGGTTACCTGGCTACTGATTGGCAAAAATGAATAAAGACCTTTTTTGAAAAAATATCATATCCTCTTTCTTTCTTTCTCCCCCCTTCCTTCAATTTTCTATCATTTAAAGATAGCTTGAAAAATGCATACATTCCTTCTTTGTAATCAGTTTCATTATTGCAGCAGCGCAGTACTATTAGAACGATATGAAAATTGTTAAGCAAAAAACAACCTTAGATATTGATAACAGTGATGTATTCAAGGATACGTCTGTCCAAAACAAACATGGTGTGCTGTTTCCTTCAACGTTGCGATGTCTTATAGTTGGCCTTCTAATTGTGGAAAAACAAATCTCATGATCAATTTGATTGAACATGAAAACGGGTTAAAATTTGAAAATGTTTATGTGTATTCAAAGTCTTTGTATCAACCAAAATATAAATATCTGGCAGAATTGTTAACACCTATAAAAGGGATAAAATATTTTCCATTCAATGCGAGTGACAACATTTTACACCCTTCAGATGCCAAACCAAATTCCATATTTATTTTTGATGATGTCGCATGCGATAATCAGGATGTTATCAGAGAATATTTCAGTATGGGACGTCATAACAGTATAGATTATTTCTACTTGTGTCAAACATATGCAAAAATACCTAAACATCTAGTAAGGGATAATGCAAATATCCTTATACTTTTCAAACAGGATGATTTAAATTTAAAACATATATATAATGATCACGTGGGTTCTGATATGCCATTTGATGATTTGAAACGTATATGCACAGTATGTTGGGAAAATTCATATGATTTTTTGACCATATTCAAAGACTGTGACATTGACAACGGTCGATATAGGAAGGGTATAGATCATTTTATTTATATGGATAAATCTTTGTCCGATACGTTCAGAAAAGACTGACAACTGATCAAATCCTGATCATCACCTGATCGCACGCTGTTTACCACCTGATCGTAATCTGATTACATGATGATAGGATTATGATTATGGATAAACTATTCACTGGAAGTCGTCTCAAAGAGAGACTTATATTGAAGCGTCAAAACGTTCGAAGAAAATTACATCAACTGAAACATGGGGAAATGTTACAAGAAGCCTTGTACAATCCCATCACAAAACATTTAAAAAGTATCGAATCTAAACTCCAAAATTATACTAGTGCCAACACCGTACCTCCTCCTCCTCCTCCTCCTCCTCCTGGTACCTCAGTTTCTTCTCAAGTAGCTGAAGTTGCTATAAGGCCTCAAGCAAAACAAGAAGTATACCTGGACACATCCAATAACAAGGTATTAGCACCTCAACCTCATGAAGGAGCATTATGGACAACTCCTACAGCTCTGTCTGAATCACGTAAAAGGAAATTAGTATTTAAATCAGCGACATCCAGAAAGAGGACAATTTCTAAAAGTGAGGAACACTCCGATTATGATGTCAATGATGATGATGATGATGATGAGGATCCACCAAGTAGTATAAAAAGATCCATCATAGACGGTATAAGTTCTGACTATGAAGACAATGATTCTACTGGATCGGGGAATGATACTGCTGTTGCTACTGCTGCTGCTTCTGATAAAAACAGATTTTATGATATTGCAGAAAAGTCATTCAATGATTACTTAGAACAATATGATGACCCGTTACCTAGAAGATACATCAGTGAAATGTATGCAGACAAAAATAATCGAGAATTTGATCATAAGTATGGTGTCAGGCTCGATGAAACCATCGAACAATTTATGATTGGTGATTCTAAATTAGACTTTATGGGAGCTGATATATATGTGAAAGGTAAACGGTACAAGAGCAGTCAAGGTTTATACGAATTGTTATTTAGAAAATATCCGAACATGGATTTCTGCAGCTCTGACGATGTCAACACCTACAGGCAAATTGTACATAAAACTAATGCCCACCGGAGGTACTACAGATCTAATACTCAACTGGATGGGAGTAAGCTACAAAAATATAAAAAAATTATAGCACCTCCTTTAAAAATGTGTTATGGAATAATGAACAATAAAAATATGGCAACGAAAATGGAATATTCTAGAAATGATAAAGATTATATATACTGGGATGATCCAAATGAACTTGTAAGTCGTCTACGCTTGTTGATTGCATCAAGAGCTGCTGGTCACTCGGGTCATGTTAATGAGATCAATTCAATAGTTGAGGAATTAAGGGAAAGTCAATATATTGAATAATGGTTAAAACATTTAAAACAAACATAAAACGTCAAGTCGTTGAAGAACTACACAAACCTGCAAGTATAAATTTCCAAAGAAGACGAATCGTTTTGAAATCTCTAAACGACCTTTTCCAAGCAGATCTTGTAAAAATGATACCATACTCGAGTGAAAATAAAGACAACTAATATATACTAGTTGTGATAAATTGCTTTTCTAAATTTCTTTGGGCTCTACCTTTACAAAATAAAATAGGTAAAGCGGTTACAAAAGCTATGGAAACTATACTAAAACAACAAACACCCAAAAATCTACAAACAGACGCGGGACTGGAATTTTTCAATCATGATTTTAAAAACCTAATGAAGAGATATAATATAAATCACTATCATACATTCAGCGAAAAGATGGCAGCCATTGTGGAATGAGTGAATCGAACTTTAAAAAATATGATGTGGAAAGAATTTAGTCTGCAGGGAAATTATAAATGGATAAGTATTTTACCACAACTGGTAGAACGATACAACAATAAGAAGCATAGAACTATACAAATGAAACCAGGTGATGTTACAAAAAAGAATGAAAAAAAACTATTATCTACTGTATATAATCGCTTGACAACGGTAAACTTAAAAACGAAATTCAAAGTGGGTGATTATGTACGCATTTCTAAAATAAGAGGTGTTTTTGATAAGAAATATCAGCCAAATTGGTCGCCTGAAATTTCCACAATACGAAAAGTAACACTAACTAACCCAATGACATATTGGTTGAAAGATGAAAATAATCAAAATATTTTAGGAGGGTTTTATACAGAACAACGGCAAAAGGTAAAACATCCTGATGTTTATCTTGTAGAAAAAAATATTGGAAAAAAAGGAGACAATATCAAGGTCAGGTGGTTAGGATTCGATAAGCAACATGACAGCTGGGTACATAAAAAGAATATCGTCTAATAAAAATCTCAATTCATGTTCAGTCTTCTTGTACAGCGTTTGCCCGTAGAATTTACAATGCTCAACAAGAGCACACAGTCACAGATCAACTGGACTGTAGACAATTTACATGGAATTCCTTGGGATTTATCTCCTTCTGGAGAGTCATGTCTTCATTATGAACAGTTGGCATCGTTCATCAAAGAACATGTTCAGGATCAACCAATATTTGTCAAGGGACGCCCGAAGAAACAGTGGTTGGAAAGATTCATCACTAATCCCATCACCGATCTACATGAAATAGGATGCCCAAATCTTGGCAATCTGAAAGAAATGTTCCAGTACAGACATTGTTATAAACATGTGTATAATAGATAGGTAGATAGATAGATAGATAGATAGATGCTTTATTGTCTTCGGATCATAAAAATGATATAAGACTCGTCAGGCATATCTCTATGAGTACATTATTATCTACAAAAATTAAAAATATAGTTAAGTATAAATACATAAATTTGTCGGTTAAAAATGGAAAAAAACACAGTTTAGTCGAGAAAACAACAGATACAATAATAATAAACAGATTAAGGTGTAAAAGAAGTAAGTACAATAAAAATAGAAAAAAAAATAATAGGTACGCATATACGAGTAAATATATACACACATATATACACATACATAATATATATATACACATATATACACATACATATAGACACACATACATATACATATATACACATATATATATATATATATACAGCCATAGTTGCCTATTTAATTTTTTGGTGCATCACTCTTACCCTGAAAGAAACTCGGTTACTGAGTAGTAGCATCTTTCTATTAACAGACTCCTCAGCTCTTTCTTGAACCTATTTGAGCATCTAATATCTTTTAGTATTGATGGCAACTTATTGAATACCTTGGTGCAGGCGTAGGCTGGTGATTTTTCGAACATTGACAGTGTATGCGAAGGTATACTCAAGTCCTGTTTCGCTCTAGTGTTGTACTTCGTGTTTAAGTCCTTGTTCTGCAGAAACTGGCCCCTGTGATTGAAGGTGTAGAGGGCGCATTTATAAATATATATACTCGGAAGCGTTAGCAAGTTATTATGCTGAAATATTGCTCTACATGATTCTCTCCTTTTAATGTTAAATATCAGCCTTACAATACGTTTCTGCAAAATAAACACTCTGGACGCGGTGCATGCTTGTCCCCAGACGATGGTGTGATTTGACAGATGCGAATACACCATTGCGTAGTACACATCTATCAGGGTTGATTTGGGGACATTTGGCTTTAATTTCAATATCGCATAGTAGGACCTATTGATTTTCCTGCATACACTGTCAACTTGTTGCTTCCAATTTAATCCTGCATCCAACTCAATACCCAGGAAGGTCGTAGAGTCTGAGATAGTTCTGTTAATGAGACGTGGAGTACTAGAGTAAAAGTGAACAACTACCGTCTTGTCAGCATTCAAGATCAGACGATTTGTTTGGCACCACACTTCCATCTCAGATTTTATGATTCCAATGTTAAGGTACAGATCTTCAGGCGAATCTGCAGTTACTACAGCCGATGTGTCATCAGCATAGTTCACTACTGCACCTGAGAGCTTCAGATCGTTTATAAATAAGATGAAAAGAAGTGGTGACAATACAGATCCCTGAGCTGCACCTATATTTATTTTATAGGTAGCTGACTGCGCATCGTTCACTCTCACTCTAAGTTCTCTGTCTGTCAGGAAAGACACTAGCCAGTCCAGCAAGAAGTCTCTAATACCTATATTGGAAAGTTTCTCCCTTAGCAAATCTACATTAATGATATCAAACGCTTTGGACAAGTCGAAAAATACTCCAGCAACTAGATAACCCAAGTCTATTGCTCGGTAAATGTGGTTCATAAACTCAAAAGAGGCTGTCT